TAATAAGATCTGAAAATTTGTGCTCATAATTAATGATGATAAGTGGGGAAATTTATCTTTTGCATGAAGTTGCGAGGCCCTACATTACCTTTTTCTTTTGCTTCTAGTAAAATAATTTGGACAGTTAATCAATTTCCTTTGACTTCGCGGGGTTGATTAGTCTTCAGTCGGTGCCAGATGTACTGAGTTTCTTCAGAGATTTACAAAGAGTTGAGGAGGTTTCGAGCAGACATTTTCTTCACTGAATTTTTTTTTTTTTTGAATATGGAAAATTACAAAGGAATGAAAAAAATTTTAAATAATTAATGAAAATCAAACTTCTAACTAATTAAATTCAAAAACTAAAATTTAAAAACAAATCATTACACTAAAAAACTCACTGTTTTTATCATTTCTTACTTAAAGATACCTATAAAATAAATTTTAGATTCCACTCAATCAATTACTTACATTAGAAAATAAAGAAAAAGTACAGTAATAAAATTTTATTTGAATCAACAGAAATAAAAACTTGAGAAAGATAAATTATTAGATTGTTTTAATTAGTGAAATATATAAATCATATGAACTATTAGAGTCAATTTTTTAATAAAAAAGAATAATAACTTATTTTGGAGAGTACAGACCTTCATGAGAGGTGAAAAGTTGTGATTCCTACATGAGATAAATTTGAGAACAAAGAAAATCTCTCCACAAGACCGCCAGGTTAAACCATGTGATTCAGAGAATATATATTTTGGTACAATTCAGAGAATATTATTAGGAAAGAGAAAGGACGTACAACAATAAAGTTTTTGTTTGGAGCAATGAAAATAGAGGCAAAGAGGGAGACGGCTGTGGCCATAAAATCAATGTTAAAGCCACATAATAATAATATAATTGTATTTAATTTAATTATTAAAAATAATTAATAATTATAGATATTAACCAATAATTATTAAAATAATTACTATATTAGTTTAATAATTTAAAATTAAATTATAAAATATTTTTAAATACCCTACCCGACTATAAACTAAAAAAAACTAGACAAGTCAAATATAATTAAAATATTTTATAGGATTCTAATAATGATTTGTGTAGCAATAACCATACTTGGAAGCGAAGAAACAATGAGTATTTTGTCCAATTAGTTGACATTTTTAACATGATCTTAAAATCTTTAGGTTGTGTTTGGTTAGGGGATAGCTTTTATGGAAAAAAATTTATTGAAATAGTTAAAAAGTATTGGTTTAAAAATTAAAAAGTATTATACAAAAGGTTATTAAATTTTATAATAAAATTTTATTGAATTTTTAATTTTATTGTATTTATTAAGAAATTAATATAAAATATAGTAAAGAAATTTATTAATATGGGAAAAATTATAAAAAAATTTATTTTTCTTTCAAAATAATTTATGATTTAAAAATTAAATAAATAATAAATAATAAAAATATAATTTTTATTATAACTATTATAATTTTATTTATAAAAAAATTTATTCTAATTTTAAAATATCTAAATATCAAAATACCTTTCCAAAATATAAGAGGTATTTCCTAAAACAATAAACCAGACGTTGAATCGTTGATCTAATTAAGAAGTCGGTGCCAAGATAGCCCAAAAAAAACAAAAGTTTGGTGCCACGTGGTGTTATTGAATCTGACCACTTCCTACCTGTTGGTCCAAGCGCCAAACTGCAAGTCCGCAACCTCTCCTGATGAAAATATACGACACCGTTTAGCATCCAAACTATCAACCTCCCTTTTTAAGCTTCTCCCTGGGAGACGACACCGTCCATTCTTCCTTTTTCTTTTTTTTTCTCTCTCTTGAATCCCGACGCACACACTTTATGCGTTGTACCTGCTTCATTTAAACGTCTCCCAGAAGAAATGTCTTCTTCTCCTGCTCCGTAGCAATCATTTTCAGCACCATTCCCGATCTTCTGATTGCGTTTTCCCCTTTTGAATAATTCCTGCTTCTTCCCGCAGAAAATGGCTGCCAAAATTGGTTCATTCAGGCATAGTTTTGCAGAAAGAAGTAAGGAAAGGCTGTTGCCGAGAACGGGGTACTCTGACTCTGTTCTCAGCAGCGCTACCACTGGCGAGGACGGAGTTAAGTACAGGTGTTTCCGATCATGTTCCGATTCAATTACCAATTTCTGGAACGCTTTGCGAGAAACTGTTATCACGTTATACGAGATGGGTCGTTCTGATCGTCGGAAGGTCTTTTTCGCCATGAAGATGGGGCTGTCCTTGGCTGTTACATCGCTTGTCATCTTCTTTAAAGAACCTCTCCAGGATTTTAGCCAATACTCGATCTGGGCAATCCTCACTGTTGTCGTGGTTTTCGAATTCAGCGTAGGTATTGATTAATCCGTCCAAAAAAAAGAAAAAATTCAATCGGCCTCTGTAATTCCAAGTTTTGATATAACGTTCATGGCATGAATTTTTCTTTTTCTTTTTTTTTTTTTCAAGGAGCAACGCTTAGCAAAGGATTCAATCGAGCCTTAGGGACTCTGTCGGCGGGAGCCCTGGCTTTGGGTATAGCAGAGCTATCCATTAAGGCTGGAGAATTTGAAGAAGTTATTATTGTGATTTGTATTTTCATAGCAGGTTTGGAGTTCCACCACTTAAAAATCCATAATTTCTCATTCTTGTTTTCCTTTTTTTGGCCAACCCAATTCTTGTTTTTTAACACCTCATTTAAATGTCCTTTTCTGCTTTGTACTTGTTGTGTGTTAGGATTTTGTGCAAGTTATGCCAAACTGCATCCCACCATGAAATCTTATGAATATGGTTTCCGGGTGTTCTTGCTTACATTCTGCATTGTGTTGGTGTCCGGAAATTCAACCAGAACATTTTTCCAGACGGCTTTTTATAGACTCTTACTGATTGCTATTGGTGCTGCCATATGTTTGGTTGTGAATATCTGTATATACCCCATTTGGTCAGGGGAGGATCTGCACAAATTGGTGGTTAAAAATTTTAAGTGTGTGGCTACTTCCTTAGAAGGTCGGTCCAGCCTCAGTTCATTTTCATTAATGCTGCCAACCAATTGCTAATTTTGGTACCTATATGCTTTCTTCTGATTTCTTCTATGACCTTTCTTAGGCTGTGTTTTTGGTTACCTTCAATGTGTTGCGTACGAAAGGGTCCCCTCAAAAATCATCACATTCCAAGCATCTGATGACCCACTTTATAGTGGTTACAGATCAGCAGTTCAATCATCAAGCCAAGAGGAGTCTCTGGTAGAATCTCATGTCCCACTTCTTGTTGGGTATTTAACAACCTGGATAAGTCGAATATGTTGTTAGATTTGATTTCGGTGATCTTGGTTTTGCAGTTAGCTTTTGCTGTATGGGAGCCACCTCATGGACCTTACAGAATATTTAAATACCCTTGGGGAAACTATGTCAAAGTGAGTGGGGCATTGAGGCATTGTGCATTCATGGTCATGGCAATGCATGGTTGCATACTTTCAGAAATACAGGTGAGGAGATTGATTTCGTTGTTTTGTGTTTGAAGGTAATTTGGGATCTGCCGATAAACTGATCTTATATTATACTTACTTTGGTTGAGAATGACTTCTTGGAAAATACTGGTAAACATAAACCATGGACGCACACATTATTTTCAGTAAAAGGAAGATAAAAGGGAAAAGTTTGCAAAAAGGGCCTCCTTCATATCTGTGAGTATTTTGTTTTTCATGTATAAATCTATGAGTTGTAGGGCCTACAATTTCCAGGAAGTCATGGAGGCTAAGATATGGGACAATCCCCAAGAATCTCAATTTATCATAAGGCTTAAGCAGTTTGTTTTATACTTCTGACTTCCCTGTAGCTATAGCTAAGATAAGCAGCCTTTTCTGAATTTATATTTGCAGGCACCACCAGAGAAGAGGCAGGTCTTTGCCGCTGAGCTTCGGAGAGTTGGCAATGCAGGATCTAAAATATTGCATGACCTTGGAGACAAGGTTGAAAAGATGGAAAAATTAAGCCCAGAAGAAGACATACTCCACGAAATACATGAGGCAGCAGAGGAGCTACAAATGAAGATAGACCAAAATTCATCCCTTTTGGTCAATATAGAAAGCCGGGGAGGTGCACCACATACTAAGGAATTTGAAGATCCTACAAACTTAATCGATGTCAAAGATGATGAGACTAAAGTGATCAAATCCCTCAGTGAAATGTCGGATCTTCACAACCCAAACACGAGTGCAGATCAAACTCTGCCAGAGTGGACTGCTTCAGAGTCCATAGCGAGACCCTCGTGGCCGCGCCTCTCGTTTAATGCAGATAGGATAATTAACCGTCAGGAATCAAAAGTATATGAAAGTGCCAGCTCTCTGTCTTTAGCTACATTTGCTTCTCTCTTGATTGAGTTTGTTGCAAGGCTTCAAAATCTTGTGGATGCATTCCAACAGCTGAGCGAGAAGGCACAGTTTAAGGATCCTGTTGAACACCCAGTCAATAAAGAGACCGACGGATTTTGGACGAGGCTTAGTAGATGCTTTCGATAGAGGAATTAAATTCTCAGCATATTGGTCATAGATTACATATCCATATATATATATATCATTGTTCCAGTTCCAGGCATAGCTTTTCGCTAACACCTGTTCCCTTGTCCCCAAATCAAAATTTTGAATTCGTGAACTGGAATATCTCAGTGCTTGCAAATATAAAAGGTTAAAAAGCAAATCAATAATTATTGCATATTATTTTGTAATTTTTATTCATTACAATTTTGGATTCTAAAATAAAATATGAAAAAAAGTCATTCACTGAGTAATTTTTTTTCCTTTGCTCTCGGCTAGTATTTGGATTCCTTTGATTTCAGAAATCAAATTTAGTTCATTAAAAAAAAAAAAAAAAGAATGAGTCCAACCTCCATGGACCATGACGACGAAGCCCATGGCCCATGTATGGATTTAAGCCCATCACGGATGTAATATCGGGTCACTTCTGGGCTCACACAAACAAAATTGAAAAAATTTTCAATTTATAAAAAACGAATAAAATAAAATTAGATTTACGATTTTCTCTTTCTCCTTCTCTAGTGTTAAAGTTCAGCCGGCGGGAACGCGTCCAGATCGGTAAAGACTCTCTCATTTCTTAGTACTTCTGTGGACTTAACCTACTTTCTTATGTAACTTTTTACGAATAGTTTTTTTTTTTTTTCAATTAATAAATCCAGGTAATTTTAGTTTCTGTTTGGTTGCCTGGAAAGTTATCGAGCAAGAAAATCAAAAGTATATATTACAGATTTTGTGATCGCTTTTATTTATAGTGCCTTCGTTAGAAAGAAGAAACTCGATTCAGTTATAATTTGAGTTTTTTTTGAGCCACAGTTTAGTGAATGGTAGTATTTTCCCCGATCCTACAAGGATTCTTCATTCAATTTTTCGAGTTTCCTTTTTTTTTTTTTTTTGTTGCGTTGTAATTTCTGGAGTGCCAAGCTTAGCAGAAAGGTTTTCGCGGGGGAGTCTATGTTTCTAACTATCTGTAGTTGTTTCTTAGAAAAATTTATGAGTTTCTTGATTTGAATTCTAGGGTTTCTATTAGATCTTAGTATGTTGGTTTAGTCTTATCACCAATTATTATTAGTTCTACCAGTCTACGTGTTGGATAATTGGATGAGAACATAGAAATTTAGAGATTTTATGAGATTTAAGGTTCGAATTTCATGCTGTCATTATGGAATATGAGATTAGTTTTTCTATTTTACTGTAAGGTGATGTATATTGTATCAGTGTTAGCTTATATTTTTGGTGTTCACTGATGATAAAATATTCCTCTTTTTTATGAATTGAAATGACTATATAGTTACCATTCTTTTTTTTTTTTTTGGTTGGCAGTACTACTGTTGATATAATCAGTCAATTAAAGCTGCCATAAAGGATTGAAATACAATGGCTATGGTTGACGAACCACTATACCCAATAGCTGTCCTTATAGATGAGTTGAAAAACGATGACATCCAACTTCGATTGAACTCGATCCGTAGGCTATCAACAATTGCCCGTGCCCTTGGAGAAGAGCGAACTAGGAAGGAATTAATTCCTTTTCTCAGTGAAAATAATGATGATGATGATGAGGTGCTTCTTGCAATGGCTGAAGAGTTGGGGGTCTTTATCCCTTATGTTGGGGGAGTTGAGCATGCCCGGGTTTTGCTACCACCATTGGAGACCCTTTGCACTGTTGAGGAAACGTGTGTAAGGGATAAAGCTGTGGAGTCACTGTGTAGAATTGGATCTCAGATGAGAGAGACTGACGTGGTTGACTCATTCATTCCCCTAGTAAAGGTTAGATAACTACTTAAGATCCTTCTTGTCCTTTTTTAAAATATATTTTAGTGCTATTTCTACCTATTGTTTTGCTTAAAATGTGAATCATGTTCAAATTCTGTTTAAATTTCATTACTTCATTGTAACCTGATCTTGACTACTCTCTTTTTCATTAGTGATTTTCTTTTTACATGTTTTGACTTTTTCTTTTTAGAGACTGGCTGCTGGTGAATGGTTCACAGCACGAGTTTCTGCATGTGGACTGTTTCACATTGCCTATCCAAGTGCTCCAGAGATGTTAAAGACAGAATTAAGGTCAATATACAGCCAGTTGTGTCAAGATGACATGCCTATGGTCAGGAGGTCAGCAGCATCAAGCCTGGGGAAATTTGCCACAACAGTTGAATCTGCATATTTGAAGGCTGATATCATGCAAATATTTGAGTATCTTACACAGGATGGTAATGGGATCTCTGTTTAGATGCGTAGATGAAAAGCTGTCTATCATTTTCAAATGTTTTGCACCATGAACATTGCCCTTTCCTCTTGGTGTATGTTGCTTAATGTGTCAGTCACTCATTGGCCATGCATTTCCCTCAACTCATGGATGTGGGTTTGGATCAAGTGCTTAATTGAGACTTAATGGCGTAAAATTGGCAAAGTGTTATTTAGAGTGGCTATGCTTCTTTATACAAAAATAGTTTTTTCATTCCACATGTTGGAACCTTGGCTGTCATGCACCATTACTCTATTTGTCCAGTAAACACTTTGTGGCCAGGTCTGCCTGGGCAAGCTTGTTTATGTTGGAAATGCTTTATTAGTTTGACATAATCATCCTATATGGATTTTGTGCTTAATTGGCTTAGCATAAATTTTATATTTAGGTTGCTGTAGTGATCGATGATATTGTGGAATCAGGATAGGGACTGGGATGATAAATATTTCACTTTCTAGTTTTAATACTCTGAAGTGTTTTTTTTTTTTAAATTACATTGCATTTTGAGATTTTTATGTATCTTAAGTTTGTATATGATGGTTCTAAACAATTTACATATCAGATCAAGACTCTGTTCGGCTATTGGCTGTTGAAAGCTGTGCTGCCCTTGGAAAGTTGTTGGAGCCCAAAGACTGTGTTGCTCACATTCTTCCTGTTATTGTCAATTTCTCCCAGGTAAATGAGTTAATGGTATATACTTTCTAGTTTTTTTTATTTTTTTTTTTATTTTACATTTTTGTTCTTGGATATCCCTCTTTTGAGGGCCATGAGGGTCAGGAGAGAATGGATGTTTATTGAATGTCCCTGATGCCATATGGACATGGTAACATTTTGATGATGATTCCAATCTTATTTATCTAGTTGCTCTTTTCCTCTTTTCCTCATTCTTCTTGTTCTTGGATTACATTTTTGATATTTGAACAGGATAAGTCCTGGCGTGTTCGATATATGGTTGCAAATCAGTTATATGAACTTTGTGAGGCAGTTGGGCCTGAGCCTACTAAGTATGTATTCTATTGAAGGCCATTTTGCTAATTCATTTATTGTTTTATTGCTTTTCTTTTGGCCATCATTGTATCTGCTATTCTGCCGTAATATCATACATGCCTGTGTACTGGACCTACTGATTGAGTTCCATTCATCCTGCCATTTTGACCATGTATAAACTTGTTATCATCCCAGATTACTTCTGATCAAAATTTAACATTTTTTTTTTTTTAAACTATGTTGTTGTTCCTGGGATAATCCTGTGCGAATTTTTCTCTTCACTATGAGTTACTCTAAAGCTGTCTTATTTTCTTTTTCCTTTTCAACATACTGATTTCTGTTGATGTATTCTAAGGTCGGATTTGGTTCCTGCATATGTTCGATTGCTTCGAGATAATGAAGCTGAAGTACGCATAGCAGCTGCTGGGAAAGTTACTAAATTTTCTCGAATTTTGAGTCCAGAACTTGCAATTCAGGAAATCCTTCCCTGTGTGAAGGTATGACAAATTAAAAGTTTTCATTATAATTTCCTTTTAGAGAAAGAAACTACTGTCTTTTTGGTGTTCCTTTATATGTCTATTTTAATCTTTGCAACTACCTTTTCAGGAATTGTCATCAGATTCTTCCCAGCATGTTCGCTCTGCCTTGGCCTCAGTTATAATGGGAATGGCTCCTGTCCTAGGAAAGGTAAGAATATTAGTAACTTCTAGTTACACATGCACAAGAGGATTATAGAATTTTATATATGCTAGTGTGGTAGGATATGTGATGTGAATTGTATATTGATTTTTGAGAAATTTCTAAAAGAATAAATGACTTCTGGCTGCTAGTCAATTATTTTATGCAAGAATGATGCCTGAATAACATCTCTCATTGCTAAACATCTGAATTCTGTCTATTTGATTTATATCAACAGAAGTCAATTTCTGGTTGTTTTAGTTGATTTTCCCATTTGCTTGCAGTACATATGAGACAGGTATTAGTTTAAATTGCATTCAGTTTCTTGAACTTCATGTTTTTGGTTTGTGTAGGATGCAACTATAGAGCAACTCCTTCCAATATTCCTCTCCCTTTTGAAGGATGAATTTCCTGATGTGCGCCTCAACATTATCAGCAAGCTTGATCAAGTGAATCAGGTTTGGCTCTAATTAGAGGCTTCACTTCAGCCTATTGTTTTCTGTTTTGCATATTCTTTTGCCAGTTCTTTTCCCTTTTTATAAATCTTCCTTTTTGTTAAAAATTGCAACTTCCCTCTAACAGAGAAATACAATAGAACAGAATCATCTATTTTTGGCACATGGCCATAGTATTGGGCATCAGAGGGATTGCTACTGATAATTTTATGTATCAATCCAATTTGATGCATCTCCTTTGGGCCATATGCTCTTTAAATGAAGGAGTTCAAATTATCAATGCATTCTTTTTGCATATCTGATATACATATTAAACACATTTATTCAGTATCTTACTAGCTATTTTACATAATTTATTCTGGCAGGTTATTGGAATTGATCTATTGTCCCAGTCCTTATTACCAGCCATCGTTGAGCTTGCGGAGGACAGACACTGGAGAGTCAGGCTTGCAATAATTGAGTATATACCATTATTGGCAAGTCAGTTGGGTGTAGGATTTTTTGATAATAAACTTGGGACCCTTTGCATGCAATGGTTACAAGATAAGGTTTGTTCATGTATCTTACAGCTAAAAGTTTAAAGGGTTAATTGCTTATGTATTTTCATTATTTATAAATTTAGTGAATACTTTTTCCAGTTCTGTGTAGTATGCTTCTAAAAATGAAAAAGAAAAAGGAAAAATGTTTTTATGGCTGAGATTGTCTCTCATGAGTGCTTAATGTTTTCTATCTGTAAAGAGATATTGGTGTATCTGCAGCTTTTAATGTCAACTAGGACTTTTTGACCACAAACTTGTTACTGTTAAGGTGTATTAAAGGCTTTCACCTGACTTGAAGTATAGCTAGTGTCCATATTTTCTAATGATTTTAGTAAAGCAATCACATCAATTTGAAATGAGCTTTGTCATAAAGGGCATGATGAGATGTTAAAATGAATGTTAGTCCTACTTATTTACTGAGTTCTAAGAGAAGAAAACAGTTTAGATGTTATATGTAGTATAAGGCTTGCTATACTTTATTATCATCAATATTTGTTGGAAATGGTAAGTAAACAGTAATAGACTTTAAGGACTATTTTCTATGGCATTTATTGCAGGTATACTCAATCCGCGATGCAGCAGCTAACAATATAAAACGACTTGCCGAAGAATTTGGACCAGAGTGGACAATGCAACACATAATTCCGCAGGTCTGTGATAACTTTCAATTATATTTGACAATTGATTTCCATGTGAAATGGTGCTTATTTTACCTTGAGAAAACATTTTAAGATTCCTTTCTGGATTCAAACAGAGATCTGCAGCTCAGTGGGTTTATGCATATGGAGTTTGTGATATTTGGGGTTTACTGGGTTTTCGTAGGAACATTACCTATTGTTTTTTTCTTAATTAGTTGAGTGCTGTGCTACCAACAAATAATATGTACCTCCCTGTGGTTATCTGAATAGTCCCTTCCTTCAATCCAAGTTAAATCCACGCTACATTTGATCTTGTAATTCTGTTAGTTCTTCTTCCTGCTTGCATGTTGTTTCTTTCCCTCAGCTGGTTTGCATTTTGTTCTTTTGTCTGCTTGTCTCTATAATTCTGATGTGCCAGCTGGACAGGTACTAGAGATGACCAACAATCCACACTATCTTTATCGGATGACTGTCCTACATGCCATTTCTCTAGTTGCCCCTGTCATGGGCTCAGAAATAACATGTTCAAAATTATTGCCAGTGGTCGTCAATGCATCAAAGGACAGGTGTTCTGCTTACTAAACCAATAGAAAATATAATCATATTAAAGTAGGGTGGTTATTGATGGCTAGATTGAATTTTCTTCTACAGAGTACCCAACATCAAGTTTAACGTGGCTAAAGTTTTGCACTCACTAATTCCTATAGTTGACCATTCTGTAAGTATCTACTTCATTTCCTTTAGCACCCTTTGCCATTCTGCCTTATCACCCCTTTTAACTCAGACGTAGATACCATTTAATTTTCATGATTTCTAATTAGTTTCTTTGTGTATGTGGATCATTGCCATAGGTGGTGGAGAAGACAATCCGTCCATGTTTAGTTGATCTCAGTGAAGACCCAGATGTCGATGTTCGTTACTTTGCCAATCAAGCACTCCAATCAATTGATCAACTAATGATGTCGACCTAGACAAGTAACCAATACTTGTTTCTACTAGTTTTTTATTTTTATTTTTATTTTTTATTTTTTATTTTTTTTATGTTCTGAAGTTCATTTTGCTTATCGGATTAGTTTCATCATCTTTCGGAATGTAATCATGTTGTAGTTTGATTGTAACTGCTTCCCTGTTGTAGCTTGGTTTTGTGTTGTGACTATTATGTAAAGCTTATTTTCAGCTTCTGAACTCTGAAGTAATGTGCTCTAGCGTTCATGTTTTGGCAAAAAATTCTGCTATATACATTTGACGACACTTCAAAAGGAAACTCTAAACATGCTTTTAGTAAATTTTGTTCATTAACAACTTAACAACTTTATGAACAAACTTGTAACTAAACTTGTCTATTAAAATCAAGATTCAAACTTATCAAAACTAAGTCTCGAGGAATTAGTCTTGACTAAAAGTTATTTTAACTGTAAATATATATATATTTTTTTAATAATTTAAAATTAACTAATAAATTTATATTTTTAAATACTATTTAAAAAAATCAAAATTATTATCACCTTAACCATATTAAAGGTGGCAATCACAATCCCATATTTTTATTAGT